TTGAGAGAGAATAGAGAAAAAAGAAGTACAGAAGAGAAAGAAGGAAATTGACTTGAAAATTGAGTAGCCTTCAGGCATCACCTCTCCAAAGAAGTATTACCGGAGATAAGAAAGATATTGGGCTTGAAGGCCATAAGTATCCCGAGGGATTCAGGAGAGTGTGTTCTATAGTTTTAGTCTATTGAGAGCTCACTTCCGTAAAGGGAGAGTGTGGTTTGTAGATCTAGACTATCGCGAGCTCACTTTCATATAAGCCCCCTAATGACTAACTAAGAAGATGATGAATAGTAAAATGAGAGATGCTATGAGAAATGAGTGAGAATAAAAGAAAGAGAAGGCCTCTCAAAACTTATACATCTTTTCGGCGTACCCTCTCTAAGAAGGTAACCAATAACGTCGGAAAGATTCCTAGACTTCAAGACCAAAGACAAGAGCACTCCGGAGGATTCTAAAGAGTGAGGTATGTAGTTCTGAACTGTCGAGAAATCACATATGAAGCTGGAAAGTGAGGTCTGCAGTTTTAGACTATTGAGAAATCACTTCCGAAGAGCCTCACGAGAGCTATATGAGCTTAGAAAGATAGATAGAACATGAAAGAAGTAAGGGTTAGAGTGATAGAGAACAAGAAAGGATAGATAAGAAAGAGGAGAAAGAGAATAATGAGAGCGAATTAATGATGGTTTAGTTTAAGGTGAGAAGAAGATGATAAGATGAAAGGAGTGAAATGATGACCCAAACATTAGGCAGCCTTCCGACGTCACCTCTCCCAAGAGGTATCATTGGAGGCAAGAAAAAACACCAGACTCGAAGCCTTAGTACCCGAAGGATTTGGAAAGTAGAGTTACAAGACTAAGCCTGTAACTATGTCACTAACCCAAAGAACCCTTAAAAATGATAAAGGGGGAGAAGAAAGTGAGAGAGAGAGAGAGATAAAAGCTCCTCACAACCCGAACACTATGTGACTCAGTGATTAGAGTAGTGAAAGGGTTAGAACTCTAAGAAAAACCGACTCTGGATGATCCCAACTCGAGTAATTGGTGCAAGAGAATCAACGTCTCTTATGACCTAAGTTTGTTGTACAAGAAGGTGGTTATAGTAGCAATCTGAGGGTTAGAATCCTATAACACTATCTCAAAAAGACATCGAATTGAGTGCTCGAGAATGACAGAAGCAATGAGTAAAGAAAGAAAACAAAGAAATAATGAAATAAAAATAGAATGAAATGAATATACGAGTTAGAGAGAGATATATATATTTAGAATGAGAAAAGAGAGAGAGAGAAGAAAGAGAAAGACGAGAGAGAGTGGATTTAAGCCGGCTTGGATTTATGCACGCCTTTGAGGATCCCTTTTGAGCGCTCCTTAGAAAGATGTCTTGACCTTTGGGGTTAAGGTTTGGGTCTAGGTCTAAGATGAATGAACCTAAGTGGGTTAGGGTAGTGTATGAGATAGGGTGTATGGTGATCTAAGGTGAGGTGTAGGTGTAAGGAGTATGAAGTTTGAGGTTCTAGGTAGTAGGAAGTTTGAGGTTCTAGTTAGTTGCAAGTTGGAAGTGAGGGGTTTGGAGGTTGGGAGTTGGAAGTAGGAGGTTTGCAAGTTGGGAATTGGAAGTAGGACGTTTGGAAGTTGGAAGTTGGAAGTGGGAAGTTGGGAGTTGGAAGTGGGAAGTTCGGAAGTTGGGAGTTGGAAGTTGAGGGTTTGGAAGTTGGGAGTTGGAAGTTGGAAGTAGGAGGTCCGAGGACAATTACCCAAAGTGGTAAAATTTTCTCTCTCTTCTCTTTTGAAGTTAAAAGCTATGTATAATCACATGCTTAAAGGGGAAAAAAACCAAATTTTTTAATTTGCTTCCCAACTTAGGTTTATAAATGGCTTAAGTTATTTATATAGAGCAACCACAAAACTAAACAAAATTATCAAAAATTACATATTAGATGAATTAAAATTAAATCTTGTTTTTAGACCAAATGATAAAAATACCCTAAATACTTTTCAACAAATGACAAAATCATCTCTCCATGATGGGCCTCTTACCATTGCTAGGCTTTGGGAGCCTTTTCGAACACTTGCGGTGGTCATTCGGGCAACGTAGAATCGATGCTTGATTTATTGCATACATTTTGATGCCTTTTGATCATCTTGAACATATTTTTTAGGAAGAACCCAAAATTCATCCAAGTCCATAAACTTTGTCATTATTCAACCATCAATCTTGTATGATATATAACGTTATGAATCTCCATTTTGATCACGAATTGAAGAGGACGTTGTCACGATCATTGTGCAATAAATTTTGTCCGATTTGGTTTTCGTTCAAGCATATTCCAAATTTGGGAAGTCGTCGGAATATGAGATATCGACGAGCAAAAAATATTGTTTTTTTCACCTCGAAATTCGTATTATCCGGCCTCCAATCATTCGTAAAGACTATACCAAAGTGTAGCTTTTCGCAATAGGGCCTCACCGAATTGATATTTGCAATAATCCAACATCGGGATCTTGAGTTATGACCTTACAAAGTATGAGATGTTCTCTTGTATAAGATCTGAATTTTCATGCTTTCAAGCTCCTTTTATCTTTAGAGATTCTCTTGTTTCGGGCCATGCCAAGACGTATTCCATCTGTCAAAATGATCAGGTCGTCGAGATCTAGCTCGTACGCAAATTTGAGCTTGATTGGACTCAAAACGAGCGAGTTATGAGTATTTGGAAATCATCTTGAAATGAAAAAATTAATTTTCATAAATGAAAATTGGTTCACTGAGGCTGCACCGCAATAGTGTAAAACCCACAATTTTATGGTAAGTTAAGCCCAAATAGTCATAGAAGGTCCGATTGAGCCCAAATTTGGTTATTGGGGGCTTTTCAACATTCCGGATCTAATGACGGTCGCCTGATACTGTTTTGAGCCAAAAAATAGGGCTATAGTTGTAGGTTCCATTTTTAGCATGAAAAAAACTAGATTTGAGATTCAAGTTTTGTCTTAATCATATCAAAATTTGTCAGAACGTGACGAAACTTTATGAGTATCCTTAAGGTATCCCAAAATACCCTCTCATGGAATTTAAGGCCATTCTGACATTTCTTTAGAGGTTGCTCATTTTTAGGCTTATTATTGCAGTGTTCCTGTGGTTTGGTGGTGTCTTGGGTACCGGCGGGACCAGGTTACTACTAGTTCTCTTCTTATTCGTATCGGGCATACCAGTGGAGAAATGGTACCTCTGTATTTCATGAAGAGCATGTTTGTTAAAATGAAAATCTCTCTCTAGGAGAGAGATTCCACTGCAGGCCCAGAACCCCGGGTTGCTTTGTTTTGTAATTATGCCAATTGACTTGACTGCGTCAAATGAATGCAAAAAAATTGTGACCCAAAATAAGAAAGGGAAAACTATAAAAAAACCCCAAGACCAAACTTTCTATGTAACTTATCCCCAACCTAACTTTTTCTCTCACTTTTTTCCCCAAAACAAACTTTCTATACAAATATCCCCTCAAAGAAACAAGTTCAAACTTTTAAGATGGAAATGCCCTTCCTGTATACAAAAATCAATTTGGCTAGATTTGATGTTAACTTTTGGACCCTAGTAGCACATTGCCGGAGCGCACCATCGAATTGCCAGACCGCCCTTTACATAAACTTAAGCGTCAGACTGCCCTTTATAAAAACTTAAGTGTCGCATCACTCTTTACAACTGCCGAACTGCAAATATCTAATGCCGGACCGCCCTTTCTAACTGCCGGACTGCAAACATCTACTGTTGGACCGCCCTTTACCTAATGTCGGACCACCTTTTCCAACTGTCGGATCGCAAATATCTACTGTTGGACCGCTCTTTACAAAAACTTAAGTGTCAAACCGCCTTTTGCAACTGTCGAATTGCAAACATCTACTGCCGGATCACAAACATCTACTGCCTGACCGTCTTTTATAGAGTGTTCTACTGCCCGACCACACTTACACAGTGGTGGAGCCCTATTTTATAGGATAGAGGAGAGAGAGGTATGGGTAAGGTAAAAGTAAAGGAGGGTAGTTTAGGTATTTTTTTTATTTTTATTTGATTGGGGGTATTTGTATATAACGTGTACTTTGGGGAAAAAAGTTACTTTGAGTGTAAATTGCATAAAAAGTATAATCTTGGATTTTTTTTTTGTAATTTTTTTAATAAAAAATTCAAATAAAAAACTCAAATATTAAAAATAAAAATAAGAATATACAATACTATGTAAGGAAAAATATAATCATTCGTTTTTTATTGTTGTCATTTTCTTTTTGAGCCAGCACTTGTCGGCACGACAAGGTTCTCTAAAGAACAAAATTGTGACCCCAAATAAGAAAAATTAACTCATACAATTTTGATGGGAAAATATCAGGTAAATGATCAGACTATCTAAGCAATTGGTGCGGTAAAATCATAACATTCATTAGCGTTGATTTTAAAGTTTATTTCACTATCTCGTAAAAAAATATGGTAAAAAAGAAGCAAAATCATTACCATCCTGTGAAGGTAGAATTTGTAGTAGATCCATGACTACTTGAATAGCCGCCGGCTCCGAGAATTATCGGGAAATAGCGAAAAGATAGACCATTTCACTGCTTCATCAGTAGTCGAGTCTCAAGAGTGAGAGTGGGCGAGGCATGGTGACCCATGACCCGGCATCACTTAAATATATGTTTGACAAATCGAACTAACCTGGAAACCGGCCAAGGGCCGGGTCCAAGTAACTCGGAAATTGAAAAATAAAACACATCCAAATAAATTGAAAAATAAAAAGAAAAGAAAAGAAGAGAAGAGATTGACCAGCCAGATTGCAAAGACTTATTTAGACGGTGGTTACAAAGTAAAAGGCAACGGGCGAAATTTGAATGGGTACGACTACGACCAGGTTTTGTGAGTTGTTGGGTGGGGTAGCTGACCACACACACCGAAATGGAATTGATATTACTATCATTACTATATGTCTTGTCTTGATCATTTTTTTTAGTATCATTACTACATGTCTTGTCTTGATCATATTTTTTTTTTTTTGTTCTTCACCTCCTCTCTGTCCCCCAGCTGCATTTATTGGGTGCCCATCCCCTGGTTCGTTTATATTATTATTATTAGTTTATTGAATAAAAATGTATGCGGTCAAACCGCGCATCGAGGGACCCTTTTTGTTTCTCGTTTGAATTGAAACTGCTTTTGCCTCTTCTCATCGGCTTGGGCTATATTTCCCTTGATTTGTTTTGTTTTGTTTTGTTTTGATTTGGGTGAGAGAGAGATGAGCAGCACCGCCGTTTTTGGGAGCAGGCAGCAGCAGCGAGCTGCTGGTGTTCATCATCATCAACGGCAAGTTTCAGACTCATCCAGCGGCCCTGTGTTAGGAAAGTGGCTTCAGTCCTCCAACACTGCTGCTACACTCCCTACTACTTTTCAGCAGCAGGTTTGTTCATTCATTGGTTCCTCTCTCTGTGCCATCCTCTTTGATCCTTTCGACCACAACACCTCTTATTCTTACTGTGGCATAAGCAGCAGTCTTCAAGAAGAGCATTCCACCACCGGACCAGCAGCAGCTCCACCATCGGAAGTGTGGAGCTCTTCTCTGAGTTTCGGCAACAGCAGCACCAGGGTGGTTTCAGTACTCCCCCACCGGCTTACTCAAGATCCTCCAGCAAGAAGAGGAATAATACTAATAATGCTGGTTCTGAGGATGAGGAGGAAAAGACAATGGGAATGGGTGAACTCAGCCCTGGCATTTTGGATCTGCATGCCTTCGATACCGAGCTCCTCCCTCCTCATCATGTGAGTGAGAGATCTGTTCTCTTTACTAAATCAAATGAATCTTTCCCCTCTTTTCTTTCTCTATTTTTGGTTTCCCCAGACACAATTTGAGCTACGCCACCTCAAGTGGTCTACTCTTCCCAATCACATCATTGGTTTGGACTGCTTTTTTTGGTTTGTGCATCTGCTTATTCCGGTTTGACGGTTCTTATTTAATGTTTTAGTAGCAGATCTCCTGGGCAATTATGCTTCTTCATTACATTGTTTTAAAATTCACAGGACAACAAAAGCTTTCCGGACTCTGAACCATGTTTTTCTACCAACAAACAGTCCAACTGGACCTGCAGCACTGTGCCAGATAACCTTCTAAGGATCTCTATGGCGGACAGGGAGAAGACCAGTCCTGTTGCCAAGATCAAAGTCGTGGTATGTTTTCATCCATGTTCTCTCTCTCTCCCGCTCAAAGTTGTGGTATGTTTTCATCCATGCTCCCTCTCTCTCTCTTGCTCTCGATATTATTTGACCATGCTCCCTCTCTCTCTCTTGCTCTCGATATTATTTGAATTATCCCCGTGTATTTGCATTCAGTATTGATTGGGGGTTTTCCAGATGTGCATTCTATACCTATGATCTAATTTAAGGCAGTACAAGACCTGTCTCTGCTCTTTCATTTACTACCTTTATACTCACCCTTGATCAATACTTACTTTGTATTTTCACATTTGCCTGGTCCCAGGTCCGGAAGCGTCCCCTAAATAAGAAGGAAATATCCAAGAAGGAAGATGATATCATTACTATAGAGCCCAAGACAAATTCTCTTACAGTTCATGAGACCAAACTAAAGGTGACTGTCAATGATCCTTGCTTTCGTAAATTGCAATTAGTTGTCAATCCCTTCAAATTTTCTCTCTTCCTCATCTCTCTCTTGTTGTGTAGTTTCCTTTTACTTTCTACTCTTTTCCAGTGGGTTTGTTATTCTAATAGAAAAGTTCTTCAAAATTGCATAATCTGTTATCTTAGTTACCAGTACGAAAGTTGGAGAAGGAATATTGATAATATTTTTCTTCTGATGTGGAGGTTCTTGTTATTTGCTCAGAAATGTGCATCACTCAGGAAAATGCATTACCATCTATCTATTGAACCTTGGACGCTCAAAAGGGAGGCAGTCGAATAAATGATATAGTCATGCAAATGTTAGTTGTTGTATCTGATTAGTTCCAATCTTTTCAGGTCGACTTGACTGAGTATGTTGAGAAGCATGAGTTTGTTTTTGATGCTGTGTTGGGTGAGGAAGTAACAAATGATGAAGTAAGTGATGGAAACGCATGCCTAATATTTATTTCTCTACTTTGATGATCTAGGGCAGTGCTGATATTTCTTCTTCATATAGGTGTATCGTGAAACTGTGGAGCCCATTGTTCCGATAATTTTCCAACGCACAAAAGCAACTTGTTTTGCATATGGGCAGACAGGCAAGAGCTTTCTTTAACTCTTGTTATACTTTGATGTCACTGGTTGCTGAGGTCACTTTTAAACTTGTCATGTAAGCATGTACATTTGCTATTTGATTGTCACTTTGATCAATGTATTCAAATTAATGCGATTCACATTGCAATGGGAGATCCTCTCATTGGTTTCTGTTAGTTTTGGGTTCACTGCAATACCAACTGAACTTGTTGGCTTTGTTTACTGTGTAAGTGAAAGGGTGAGTTTCTTGGGACGAAACCCTTGACCTCATCATGCAAACCAGGTGCCGTACTGCTGGAGTAAAGCACAAGGATAGTTCTACAATTTTTCTTATGTGAACTTTGGAATTTGTTGTCTGTTTTCGTTCTTGTACTTTCATATCTGGGCCTGAGCATTTATTAGATATAGTTGTTGTTATGGGTCTGCGGAATTCTGCTTTTTCAAGATACGATATGCGATAAGATGATAATAGTTGCAAAGATGCCTATTGCCCAACCTTCAGTATGAATCTTATTGCCAGGCCTAGTAAGGGATTGTCATTCATACCAGAGATAAAAAATCACCTTGTTCTTCTTACAATCTGGTTCTCTTGGACTTTGTCCATTCAGGGTGGATTTTGCTAAACTAAGAAGTAGATGATATTTCAATCCACATTGAAGTGGAAAAACATAGATTTTAAACATGGATGTCATCAGGTTGTTGACTTCATGTGCTGTTTCTTCATGAACTCGATGGTTCCGGAGTGTTTATTGTTTGAATTTGGCTCGCTGCCCCCTACTAACTTCATCAGATGATGCCATGGTGGTAGTCTTTTGAGTTATTCACTAGTTAGTCCCTTGGGATATTGAGTTGATGGTAGACATCAATACCTTTACCCAGAGCCTATTTGAGTTCTGCAAGAATGTTGGCAACCTGTTCACGTCATGTTGATGTTTCTGCATGAACTTGAGGATTCGCAAGTGTTTATTGTTGAGTTTGGCTCTCTGTCCCTCCTAACTTCACTAGATGATGGTAATATTTTGCTCTATTTCATTAACTTATTTATATGATGGTAGTTTCTTGCTCTATTTCAAGAACTAATTGGTACAAGCTCCAGCAGTTTTATTTTGATGCTGCTGTCTCAGATTGTGTTTGCATTTTTTTCTCTATTAGCTCTATTGTTGGTAATTTCAGTGCTCCTCTTTGATAATCAACTGACTGTAACATGGCTGACTCTGTAATCTCTGTTGGTTTCTCAGGCAGTGGAAAGACTTACACCATGCAGCCCCTGCCCCTTAAGGCATCCCATGATATTCTTGATCTAATGCAACGTAGTTACAGAAATCAAGGTTTCCAGCTATTTGTCAGTTTCTTTGAAATATATGGTGGGAAGCTTTTTGACCTTCTAAATGACAGGAGGTTTGTGATGGTTATTTACCTTTCTAGAGTAGTAAAATTGCTGTTTCACCTGAGGAGTCATCCACTTAGCTCTTGAGATTTGTCTGTCCAGGAAACTTTGCATGAGAGAGGATGGCAAACAGCAAGTGTGTATAGTAGGTCTACAAGAGTTCAGGGTATCAAATGTGGATACCATCAGGGAATACATTGAGAAAGGAAATGCGACAAGAAGCACAGGAACAACGGGTGCAAATGAGGAATCTTCTCGCTCACATGCCATTCTTCAGCTTGCTATCAAGAAATCAGTTGACGGTAATGAGTCAAAGCCTGCTCGCATTGTTGGTAAACTATCATTCATAGATCTTGCTGGCAGCGAGCGTGGAGCAGATACCACAGATAATGATCGCCAGACAAGGTTTGAGACTATCACCTTATTCTTTGAAGGTTCATTCTCTTCCCTTTGTGGAAAAGAGTGTGCAAATAAAAAATTACTCACTTGAAGTGGGCTTCTGAATCCATGATGTAGAATGGAAGGTGCAGAGATCAACAAGAGCTTACTGGCATTGAAGGAGTGTATTAGAGCTCTTGATAATGACCAAGGACATATTCCTTTCCGAGGGAGTAAGCTTACTGAAGTCTTAAGGGATTCATTCATGGGAGACTCAAGGACTGTAATGATCTCATGTATTTCTCCAAACTCAGGTTCATGCGAACATACTCTCAACACGTTAAGATATGCTGATCGGTATGTGTTTGGCTTAATACTTGCCCCATATGTACTTGCATCTTTGCAGCATATGCAAATACACTTTCAACAATTTACTGGGATTCGAGGGGCCTAAAAATCTATCTATTTATGTTCAAAATTATTGAGTGGAAGGCTTAAAATCAATTCAAGCATTACTGGCTTTGGTGACATGAACTTTCCTTTCATCTATTCTTTTATTAGGTTCAGGCATGTGTGTACGCGCACATGCACATTCATACTTGTGTGCATACATGTCCACATGCCTATCCATTTGTGTGGAGGCACAGGTGTGTGAAAATTCATGTGAGTGGTTTTGCATGTGGGCATGCTTATGTGTGCACATTCATGCTTGTGTGCAAACAGGTCTACATGCGTGCGTGGTTGCATGGAGGCAAATAAGCATGAAAGCTCATGCATGTGCATGTACATATGTGCATAAATAGTTCCTTGAACCGATGGACCAAATGCGTGTTATGAACCACAGGGTTAGGACTATATGACGGATTAAGATCTAAATGTGTACTATCCACATTGGCATGTTTGGATGCTTCATTCTGTGCATTGCAATAAAAGTTTTTGGAATATCCATTCCTAGCAGATTCCGAATAAGATCCATTCCTAGCCGACCCCAAATAATTGGGATAAGGCTTGGATGATGATGATGTAAGAGCCATTCCTACCTTTGGATAGATAGATTGATGTGTAAGAAGAGATGAATTTACTTCAATTCTAACAGCCCTTTTGTTAATCACCATCAGGGTCAAGAGCCTTTCAAAGGGTGCCAGCTCAAAAAAGGATCTCGTGCCTACAGCCTTGAACTTGAGAGACTCATCAGCTTCTCCTCTATGTACAGTTTTTCCTGCAGCTTTGACATTGGACAGTAATAGCTTCGACCCACCTCCAAATGATTCCCACAGATTTGGGTGGTCGAGACACATTGACGCTGAAAATGGTAGACTTTTTGGAAAGGATAATGGACCTCCAAGTGGAAGAGATAACGGGCGTTTATCTTCTTTTTATTCAGACTATGAAAGAGAGCAAAGTGGCAGGGGCTACTCTGTAAGTGTGGATGATTTTGATTTCTCAGATGAGTCGCATGAGCAAGAGAATATTTTATGGAAGGAGGAGAGATCTGAAAGATACATGACTTGTGCTGATAAAAAGGCTAATGCAAATGGCCTCACTAAGTGGAGGGATGAAGGTCTTGGTGTGGATGGTGTGAATACTGATGATTTTCTTAGAGCATTATTGAAGGTGAGAGAGAGGATGAATGTGACTCTAAAGGGTGAATCCAATTACTTGATCGTTTATTTTACTTTTGGGTGTGGTTTCTATAACGTTGCGACCTTAAACAATCCAATTAAGGTGGCACCTCCAAATTTTATCACAGCATGTAATTTTGGTATAAAAACTTATTAGGATTATCTGAAAATCTATTTTCATATCTAATTATAAAATTTCAAGCTCCAAAAAAGGTTAAAATCAAGTAGATCTATAAACATATGAAAATATTGAAAATGGTCAGTCTAGATAATGTGTTGCAAGATGCACTATTTCTGGGACTCAAAATATTTGTTTTTTTTTTTTTATATATTCGTACATCTCAATGTCGAGATGATCAATTAGAGGGTTTTTCAACATTAAAGCAACCTTTTCCAATGGATTTTTGAGGTGCATCTTTAATTATACATTTTAAGGTTGCAGCCTTATATAAACTTTTTCCTTTACTTTTTGTTATGGTGATTGTAGGAAGAGGAGGAGCTTGTGACTGCTCACAGGAATCAAGTAGAGGAGATGGTTGACATCGTAAAGGAGGTGGGTAATAGTGACCTGCTGTCTTTTCCAAGAGTTTTTTATGTAGGAGTTGATGCATGGGCTTTTCTGTTTACAGGAGCTGAAGCTGCTAATGGAAGCAAATCAACCAGGAAATCAGCTTGATGTATACATATCCAAACTTAATGATATCCTTTCCCAGAAGGCAGCAGGAATTGTGCAGCTGCAGAGACACTTGACACAATTCCAGAAGCGTTTGACTGACACCAACATACTTATCTGTCCTCAAGCTCCTTAATTAATTATACATGCAGGGGGTGAAGAAAAGTTGATAATTAGGGAAAGCTGTGATGTCTATGATTGAAATTACAAGGCACTGTACAGTTTCCTCCAGAGTGTGAGTTAGCTATGGGGAATGCTTTGCACCTTAAGATTAAAATAGTCGTTCTTTTCCGATCCCTTTTGTTTACACTGGAAGTGTCCTAGTTGACTGGAAGCTGTTCTACAAAGATCTCACTGAGGGATCATCTTTATCGTCTTCAAGCCATTGATTGTGTGAAAATATATTTTATGTTGCCTTGCCCATCCACGTGCATATTATTAGTAAGTCAGTTTATGAAAGGGTGGCAATATGTTTTATGTTACCTTGCCCATCCACATACATATTATGATGAAACTGGTTTGTCATAGGGTGATGATATATGGTGACTACTAACTAGGCAACAGTAAACAACCATTGAGATTTAACTAAACCAAGACAAGAATGATCAATTTATCCAGCACAGCCTGATGAACGTGTAATAGAATCAGAGTTTGGGATCTTGGCTGGGTGGTTTTATTCTTGAGAGTACAACCCAATGAACAAGGTCAGAATCCCATGATAATCTAACCAAAAAGAAAGAAACAGAAAGAAAAACCAGTTGAACTACGGCAACACTAGCTCTCTGTTATGACCTGGCATCCATCATGTCAGCATCTTACATGCCAATATCATCTCAACATCTTAATACATTTGGAATATAGGCCTCGAATATAGCTCACCAAACAAGAACATGCAACTAGCAAATGTGGAGTCGCTCTGCACAAGCACATATTTACAAGGGCAAAAGCAATTTCTAGTTATTGCATTCCTTAAGGAAAGCAGATTACGTATTTCTACATGGATACTTGGAGAAGCTTGCAAACACATGCTTGATTGTTTAGAAATTTATTTTGGATTCATCTGGAGCTCTCTCATAAACTGGGTGAGTTTTGCATTCCTGGTTCTAGAAAAAGCCTAGTACAAATTCATGCTTTAAGTTCAAGACTCTTCTGACCTCTCAACTTTCTTCAGAACATGCGTCTTTTCAACTTTAAACATTTTGGAAGAGTTCATCTACACATTTCTTGCAAAAGTATCATGGGCAAAATTGGGTAAATTTTCTAATTATTAATTAATCTCATAAACTGGGTGAGTTTTGCATTCCTGGTTATAGAAAAAGCCTAGTACAAATTCAGGCTTTACGTTCAAGACTCTTCTGACCTCTCAATTTTCTTCAGAACATGCGTCTTTCAATTTCAAACATTTTGGAAGCGTTCATCTACACATTTCTTGCTAAAGTATCGTGGACAAAATTGCGTAAATTTTCTAATTAATTAATTTTGCAAGAAATTAATGCATGTGAGATGGTGATGTTTAGGATATCAATACTGTGGCAGTATTATTGCATTTTGGACAAAGTGATAAGAAATGGCATACAACAAACATCTGACATCTAGGAAAATCATGTGTGAGTATCTATTGCGCACCTGGGTTGTAAACCAGTTAAAGTACGTTGGTGATGATTCATCTGGCTCAAAGGCATACCCATGTTCTTTGCATGTCTCGAAATTGCACCTATATTTTATGTATTTTTACTTGTGTTAAATCCAACTTCAGTGGTTAAGTCACGCTTTTAGTATTTTTTCATCTCCTAAAGCCCGTAGAAATGTACAATTTGCACTTTCTACCACCTTATATCGGTTCGGTTCTTAGGTCTGTTAATTATATTAGTTATGTAATTTTTGAGAATGTATTTTGGACATATTTTTTTCCTTTTTAGAGTGATAGTGTGATTTTTAGCACGTGTAATGGAACAACACTCACAAATTTTGAATGTCAGGGATTTGGGCTCTTTGCCCCTTGACCCTTCCCAATCACACACACCCCCACCCTTTCCCCCTCCCCTAAATAAAAAAATAAAAAATAAAAATAAAAGAAACGGAAAAAAAATCCCCCACATTACTGCAAAAAAAGAGAACAAGAGAAATTTCAGACTGTCAGAATCACGAAGGACATGGCTCCTATAATTCATAATATTGTGTATACGTGCACCGAAAACTTCTGATTTTGGATCTACCCTTTTATATTTGGTGCCATATAAAAATTTTAAGCATGTAATTGGACAGCCTGATTCTCTATGACCACAAACCCCAACCTTATGTCATCCATCATCTGTGTATTGGTTTGCCGCTCCGAACTAGCGATTCTTCATTCCAGCAGATAAGATTGATAAAGCCAGCAACAAGTAGGCATACTTTCCTCCCTTGCACCTCCACCGCTACCTCAATTCTCTTAAAGAACACTCAAATATCAATCATGTAATGATAAACCTAGCCCAACAATGGTCGGTCTTGAGTAGTGCAGCTTGAGAAGTGCTGATCTATTCAGCAGCAGGACTAGGACTCTGACCACCTTGATAGCTTGACAAACATCGGAGCGCGACCTCATATGCAGAGAAGATGGCCCCATTGACAACAAAAGCACGTGCCACGGCTGTTCCAAGGCCCCGCCAAAGCACAGCAGGCCCTTCTTCTCGCACGCTCTTTCGAAAGCAGTGGAGGATGCCTGTGTATGCAGCAGGTTCACCTTGAAGCCTCGACTTGAGGACATCCAATGGATAGCAGCAAACCCAACTAGCGACACCTGCCACTCCTCCTGCCACTAGCATCTTCCCAAGGGTAAGGGTGGTGGTGGTGTTCTCTTCGCACTGGCGGCACCCCGGATGGAGGTGCTCCCTTGTGTACTCGTATGTCCAAAAGTACACTCCATGGGCTGGGGCGTCTCGGAGCGCTGTAACAGCCAGGCCCCTGTACATCCCTTTAACGCCTTCCCTCTCCATGATCCTCCTGATCAATCCCATGGGACCCAACCCCCTTGATGCCTGCTTCTGCAATTGAAGTTGGATCTTAATGAGCTCAACCGGGCAGAGAATGAGGCTCTGCAGAGCACCAGTTCCCACCCCACCCAATACAACACTTTTGTATGAAGGGGGATCCCTGCCATTGCGTGAGTCAAAAGCCCGTGACAGGACTGCATACACCTGGAAAACCACAGCATTCTGCACACAAAGAAAAAAGAAAAAAAGTAAACTCAACAAATCCATGACCATTTCACCTTACCTTACAGTTCTAAGAGAGAAATAAGAAAAAGGAGAATTCCCACACCACCCTTTGATCCATTTGAAAAGCCACTTGCCCATCACATTTGCCCATCCATCAATTCCAAAGAGAAATGGTTTATCATGATTATTTTGTGCAACTCCAGCTCTTTTTATAAGCCTGTTTCCTAGGTTTCAAGCCATCCTGGTTTACAGCCTATGAAGAGTAGTGTGTTGCCCAATGCTTACACCATACAATTCTACCACTGTGGAAAACTATGTTTCTTCTTGTTTTATCACAGGCCTTTGTAATCAGTTTCAAAACCTGAATTGTCCATGGTAGATTAACTCAAATACTAATTTTCTGCCAAATAACCTTCTTGAAACATTGCCTCATCTATATTACAGAAGAAATGGATACACACAGGACATGTGCAAATACTAACATTAAAAGGAAAAGAGGAAAAGGGACATTAGCATCACTTCCACAGGGGTTCCAATATACATCATTACAAAATTGACTTATATTGCAGGTCTTCACTTTTCAGTCTTATGAAATAAGAGTACTTCATAGTCCTAGAACTGTGAGGTCCACCTAATTGGAAAAGCGAAACAAACACCAACAGGGGCGTTCAGATGAGCTGTAACGCTGCTGAAACCGAATTAAATGCATGTGAGGCATGGGGAGCTGATCAGGAACATGCATGTGCCAGATATGAAAGACATGCTGAGAATGTTCCAGCAAGCTGATGCGTCTAGAAAGATATTTACGTTATACACAATCCATAACAACTCACACGTTCCTCGGAGGTACATATACCAAATTGTGTCCGTAGACATATTTCCCAGTCTCTATAAGGATTCACATCTTTCTTGTAAGTGCGTCAAGCAAATTGACTTGATCACTTCTCCAGATGGGAGGTGCTGCCAATATGCAAGCCAACCATGAGTATGGATGGCAGTGACGACCAATATGTTGGGCAGCTGCGCAACTGCCGAGATTAAGTGGACTGCGGTTCCTCCCATGACTAGGGCAGCCACAGGTAGGCATATGCAATGCTAGACCAAGCTGGTGCCAAGAGGTGAAGCAACCATCTCACCTTGTTATGGTTGAGGCACCAAGTATTGTGTAAGGCTCCATTGTGATAGTGTGCAAGTAACTGAAATCACAGAGATCGTTGTTTGTGAGGAACAAACAACCAGCATCAAAAATGGATTTTTGAAGTAGGACACAGACACAAAACAACAGCTATGCCCCTGTTGGTGATAGGTGCAGCCACGAGAAATGGAAAGACTGCAATATAAGGAGACACAGGACATTGATGTCCATGATTTCCCTTAGAAGAAACGAAGCTGTGTTGTATGTGAAAACTTTATACATAATCAGTGTTGGAAGATGTATCAGGTGCATCTGATTTAATAAGATGAATCGTGATTAATTTGGGCAACTGTGGTAGTTTATAGTTTCTGGTGAACAAACTAGAATCTTAGTTCCATGGTGGTGCACAAGACATTAATTAGAACATGCTTGCGCGCCATACCAAGGGACGATTTGTTTCATGCGTTTTCTAAGCTACCCATAGATTTTATAAGCCCAAGGAGAATCCTCCTATGGTTAGTCTTACATCTGAGCTCCGATTCTAAATGTGGCCCCCGTTGAACTGGTCATGGTCAATCACAATGGCTTCATCCACCATTTATATTCAATTAAAAAAATAATAATCCTAGAGACCCATGTATCAATTACTAGGGACCAATCATCTTCATAATTGGGGCATCCCATGCTAAAGGTATCCAGAATCTGATGATGAAAGGGGAAGCAAAGGGCAAAAGGAATCCAGTATTTGATATGAAAGGGGGAGTAAAGAGCAAAAGGAGGGTGGGTGAGAGAGGGAGAGGGTACCTGAAAGGCAACAGAGGCGAGGGGAGCAGACATTCCTTTGTAGAGAGCCAAGGGCCCTTCGGAAGACGCCATGCTCCTCAGGACCTTCAAAGCAGAGAAGGAGGAAGAAGAAGAAGGCTGCTGGAGGCGTATCCTGAGGGTGTCGAGCGGATGTCCTGAGATCACCCCCGCCATTCCCCCAAAACCTCCCGCTATGAATTCTCTTCCCGAGCTGCTCGCTAAGAACTCCGGCCAAAACTCCATCTCCCTCTCCCTCTCCTCTCTCTCTCTCTCTCTCTCTCGATTCTTTCCTAATCGCTAGCTCTAATGCCACTGCCATTAAGCATTCCAACAAAAACGACCACCTCGTCCTTCTCCTCGGGAAAGGACAAGGACCCACAGACAGACAATAATGGGAAACCACCTCCACGTCACCATCCCACCATTGCAACTCATCTTTGGTTGCTCAATAATAAATGGACGAATAATAACAATAATAAATGGCAATGGCAAAGCCAGTAACGATGATATTGCCCGCCGCACCCTCATGGGAAATGAATGAATCTCTTTTGATGAA